TTAAGAATGCTGTTGACATGCACTTATCCGCACTGCAGGTACAGCTATATTCCGATAATTTCAGTTTTATTGAGCTATAAACTTGGTTGGCACTGGTAAGTAGCATCACTTAAACTACTTCCGAGCTTTCACCTTTCACGGGCAGTGAACGCTAGAGAATTTCTATTTTTCGATTCTACTAGCTCGAATTTTATCGCACTTCTAGTTACAGTTATGAAGTTCAATTCAGCCCAAATTGTTTGTGTTGAATGAAACAGCAAGCTTTTGCAGAGCACAGTTTTCGGTCTAGGATATCTGAAACTTCTGGATCCGGTCTTTCTTACTGACGTTGCGCTACAACTCTACGAATTTGTGCCGCTCACGGTGATTAAAAGACTTCATTTTTTACGAAAAATGGCTTTTATGCGTTTTATGCTATGCAACAGTTGTACAAAACGTATATTGTCTTGGGTTTGTCTGCGTGTGTTTATGTGTATGCGTGTGTTTGTGTGTGTGTGTGTGTGTGTGTGTGTGTGTTCGATGTATCTTGTTTGCAGCTTTTAATTCGGTAGCTACAAAAGCTTGGAAGTTGAAAATTTAGGAGAATATTCCTCGATTACATGTGACCTCTCAAATTTAGATTCGGCCTTACTCTGTTTTTAGGTACCACTTACGATCCCGTAAAAGTTTTAACGGGGATATTTATTTTCTCGGGAATTATAGAAGCCACGGAATTGAACTTTTAGGGTCTTGATCCCCATCCACGTGCAACCACGCGGATTTAAATTCAGTCTTTCCGCGCTCTCGGGTGCCACTTGCTGTCCCGTGAAATTTTGGCGAGGAAAATTACCTGGGGAACCAAGAAAGCTGAAAAGCTGAGATTCTAGAGTACTGTCTCCTGCTCACGTATGACTTCGTAAATTCAAATTCGTGAGTGTTTTGCAAGAGAAATTATTACCCGGAAGCCAGAAGAGGGAGAAGGCTGAAAATTTCAGGAGGATGTTTGCTGTCTATGCACAGAAACTCACACTTAGTACCCAGGCTTGCCAAGGTCTCACGTATGTCTGTGTAAATTTATGACGTGAAAAATACTCAGTAGGCAGAAAATTAGGAGGTTGATTTTGGAAAGATATCCACCGTCTAAGATTTTAGTGGGAAATTCCGCAGCATAGAAACCAGGTAACATTTCAACTATTTTTGCACAGATCAAAGTGCAAAACAGTGAAAATCATTAGCATGCAAACGTTCGTTCAAGGGGACTGTGCAAAATGCATGACCGCAGCGGCTACG